ACGAATTCTTCTTGTGAATTCGTAAACAGAGAATAGATCAAACACGATGCTGATCAATTCGCAAATAATTCGTAAAATTAGTTTACGAATTCGTGTTCACTGTCTTTGGAACTAGATTGATTCGTAAATACGAATTAGCGAATTCGTATTACGAGCTGATCCGGTTGAAAATGGATCCACGAATCCACAAACCCATTCTGCAAATTCATTGCGAATCGATGTGTACGCTTACTAGTCTACGTAGGTGCAGGACACTTTTCTCTGAGGTTAAAAATAGATAGATTCGTCTCTTCTCGTCGATTCGATTATTACATGCTATGAGAGCCCAAGGTATCCTCTTCAAAATAAGAGTCAAGCGAGACCTTGATTTTCCGCGGCTCAGGCGTTGTGTCGGATTTCCTGCCAGTCCCAGGACTGGCACCCCGTGACTATTGGTAGCCTTGAAAACGGATGGACTATAGGTAATCCATCATGCTGAGTCTTGTGACAATATTTGTTTTTAGAAAAAGTTCTAAAAGTCTACCGAAATGCGAGTTTTACGAAACTTTTTGGATTTTCAGGCTGTTTTCACCTTCTATTAAAATATTCATCATTCACTCAACAAACATCAGAACTAGTTCAGACCTTCAGGATATGGTTACTTTTCTCCGCTAAACATGATTATAAGATTGAAAAAATCGAAGAAGCATATTTGTGTTAATGGGTTTTCCAGAAAAATTAACTATTCACTTAATAAACATCAAAACGAGTCCAAGACTTCAGAATGTAAAGTATTTAAGCTATTAAAAACTGGACTGGACTAGACTTTTTTAGTCCATGGACTGAGCCATACGGCCAGAGCTCTGTTATATACTACGTTGTTTTCAAACAGTCGTTTAGTACGATAAAGATGTCATGTCATTTTGTTTGCCGTGTGGTTGACAATGTTAGAGATTAATAATAAATAATGTATTACCATACACTTCAGCCACTTTACGATCTTTTGTTGTCGATGTAAATGCTAACCATTGAATTAATTTACCAACATTTTGTGTATATTCTTCTATCAATTCTTCAGTGAGTTTACAACCACGATAAATAGTTAGTTCTTTTTGATCAAGTCTGAACACCCTAAATGCCATGTAAACACTTGACAGAAAGCACTTAATGTATCAGTTTGAGTCATATCTTCGCTTCTTAACGTTGAATTGACTAATTTATATAGAAATGCTTTTGCCGAATAAAGATGAATACAATAGTCACTAAATTTCCTTGACTGATTTATCTTTAACATGTCGTAGTGTATCAGCTATCAACTGAGCTTCCAGCTCTTCATTTAATAATTTACCTTCTTCCAGAATATCTATAGTTTTTTCAACATAAGAAGGAAGAGTTTTATTTGTATATCTAATAAACAGAATCACCCATGTAAATTTTGTTTTCGGGCCGTCAGTGCGTCCGAAAGTGCATTCAATCCTGCATTTAATCGCTCTAGAAATGAGCCATTTGACGTGTCAAGACGCATTTTATCTCGATGCGCTTAAACGCGTTTATTTGGTAATATAACGTGTCTTGATGCTCTGAAATTACATCATTTCAGCGAGTATTCGCGCTTCGACGCATGAAATTAGCAGAAAAAGACACAATTAAATGCGTTTAACGAAACGCATTTTAACGCTTTAGCGAAATAACTTGATGTACTTCCCCGTTTTATGGCGTCTTTTGAAGTACAGTCGTTGGAATACGATGCGTCAAAACGCGTATGAGATACTGTTGTAAAACGTCGCGTTTAGACGCGTTTTTCGACACGTTTAATGCGGTTTATTATAAGACATCTACCTAATTTACTTTGTTCCACGAGACTCATCGTTACGCGTTTCCTGAAGAAAATTTCGCCGACGTGTTTGCTAAATTTTTTCAAGAAGAAAATGTTTACCCGAGCCTTTTTAAAAGGAAAACGCGTTTTTCAGACGCTACCCAGTCACATGGTCAAAGAAAGAAAATTACCATTAGCAGCTTGTTGAAGAATTTCTGAATAACGAGTAGCAGGATAACATAACACTTGATTTCGCTCATACCATCCATAAGTAGATTTGCTTCCTCCGTATTGAGTAATGGTAAATGCTTTCATTGGTTTTCCCGCAGAACAAAATCTTTCTCCTCGTAAATATCGACTAACATCAACTTCTTCTCGTCTTATAGGTCTCTGTTTAGTTCTATCATCTTTTCTAATTTGCAACATTTGTGTAAAATCAATAACATAATCACCTAATTGAACTTCTTCTTCATTCTTCTTTTGATATGTATCTTCAATAAATTCATTTTCAAAATCTGAATAATATTTCCATATTCTTAAAAATGAGAATCACTTTTTTGATTTCAAGTGCATTAATGCATAGCCTAGTCTGCTTTTGATTGCACGAGTCACCGTCGTGTGACCACGTACCACTACTTCAGAGTGTACATTTATTATTTTACCAAAAGTGATTTATGACGCAACTAAAAGGGAAATAGGTGATCCAGGGCTGGGCAACTCCAACCCCGGAGTTGAGGATTTTTTTGGTGGGGTTGGAGTTGAGATATTAGTAGGCTAGAGTTGGGTTTTTGAACTTTTATTCTCAACTCCGTTTTGCATTTTGGAAATGTTCAATAGCTGTAAACTGATCTTCTAAACGACAGAGTGGAGTGTATTCACGAGTGAATTCGGAAGTTCTTTGCGCTTTCCTGCTGAAAAAAGCTCAAAAACGTCCAGAATCCTGATAAAAAACGAAAAATCTTCCTTACGAAGCAACCGGAGTTGATCTGAAGTTGAGCTTTTTATTGAGAGAGTTGGAGTTGGAGTTAGAGTTGGAGTTGAAAATTTGAAAATGGAGTTGAGTTGGAGTGGAGTTGGAGTTGAAAGTCAGCGGAGTTGACCAGCCTGAGGTGATCGATACTCTTTCACGTCGCCAATAACGATCAGACACCTCTTTTTTTAATAGAATCTATGACCGATGATGTTAATATATTTTTAAATGACCAAAATAACTCTAAATGTGGTGGTGAAATTGAAATTATGATTGCTGATAAGTGTTCATAGTACTCTTATCAATAATTTTACTGAATTTTATTCAATTCAGAAAAAATCATCTTGTAGTAAGCGATCTTCATTTCACATATTCCTTTAACACTATA